TAGGGTGATATTTATACTCCTTTTCCTTTTGCAATCCTTTGAGGCTTCTACTCAAGTACTCCATTACAATTGCAAATAGAAAAGATAAAATGGGATCACCTTGTCTCAGTCCTTTAGCTGCTGGGAAAGGAACTGAAGGCTCTCCATTCACCAGAATTGAGTACCTCACAGTCTTAACATAGGTTAGAATTCAATCTTGAGATCTTCTAGGGAATCCTATCTCAACCATGACCTGATCCAAAAGGATCCACTCCATAGAATCATAGGCCTTGGTCAGGTCTATTTTGATCATACATCTAGGAGAAGTATTCTTCCTTGTGTAAGCTTTGACAAGCTCATGAGCCAAGATGATGTTGTCTGCAATTTTCCTCCTAGGAATGAAACTAGCTTATGCTTCATTAATGATGTTTGTCATAACTTTCTGTAATCTATTTGCCAACACCTTTGAGATGATCTTATATAGCACTGAGCAACATGCAATAGGTCTGAAATCTCTTGCTATTGTAGGATTGCTTACTTTAGGTACCAGTGAAATTGCAGTGCAATTTAAGGCTTTATATAGCTTACCAGTAGTGAAGAAATCTTTAATTGCTCTCACTACATCACTTTTGATCATTGACCATGCTTTTTTGAAGAAATAAGAGTTATATAAATCCGCTCCAAGGGCCTTATCTTCATGTATTGCACACAATGTTGCATATATATATTGCTTTGTTACTTCCACACATAAGCTCACATGTTGTTCATGAGTGAGTTTAGGTCCATTTTTTATAGTTTCCTTATTGATAGCAGGCAAAGATGCAGCAGCAGTTCCCATCAGGGACTTATAAAATTTAACTATCTCCCCCTTAATGCTATTAGGAGTAGCCAGTTTCATTCCATCATCAGTGTAGATCTCTAGTATCTGCTTTCTTTGACTTCTCTCCTTCATGACAACAGAGAAGTACTTAGTGTTGGTATCTCCAAGCTTGATCTATTTCACTCTAGCCTTCTGTTTGAGAATACTTTCCTCAAGTGACCATTTCTCCAAGTTTTATAGGATAGTCTTCTCTTGTCGTAACAGATTATCTGAATATTGTATCCTCATTTACTCCAAAACTTGAATAAGATTAGCCCTGGCATTCTCAATTCTCTCAGCAATGCCCTTATACTCATTAGTATTAAGGCTTTTGAATAGAGGTTTCAGAGCTTTTAGTTTTCTCCAAATGTTCTTCATTTGATTATCATCTTCCTTTCTTCTTCATATATTGCCAACAATTGTATCAAACTCATCATGGGAGGCCCATGAATTAAAAAACCTAAAAGGAGTTCTAATGTTATGTTTCACAATTTTTATATTGACAAGCATTGAAAAGTGGTCAGAGATTAAAGGTATATCATATTCTGTATGCACATGACCCAGTTCATCATCCAGTCATCATTGCCAAAGATCTTATCAATTCTGCTCACAATCATTTCTATCCCCTCTTGATTATTGGACCAGGTATAGTAGTCTCCTTTTCATGGTAGTTCATTCACTAACAAATTGTGTATGCAATCAGAAAAGTCAATAATTTCATTTAGTGTCACAGGGTTGCCATACATCTTGTCTTGTGTATATAGCATAGCATTAAAATCCCCACCTATCAGCCATGGTTTGTTTGTGTGTGCAGAGATATCAGCCAGACTTGTCCACAACTCCTTTCTTTGATCAACTGTATTGAAGTCATATACCAATGTTAGATATGATTCAAATCCATTCAATATGCCTTTAACTAGGCAGTGTATAATCTGAGCCTCCACTTTTTCAACATCAACACTATACACATTTGGATCCCAGGTGAGCCATATTCTGCCATGCACAACCTTTTGGAAGTTACACTGCAATACCCATCCTGGTACTATATTTTTATTAACTCTCTTCATATTTGGTTCTTTGACTCTAGTCTCAAGCAATCCAACTAGTTTGATATGTTTATTCTTCATTTTTATTAAGAGTTTTTTCTGCTTGTATCTCTTATTTACACCCCAAACATTCCACACCAACCAAGTCATTGAGATAGGGAAGGAGGCCTACTTTCTGCTATATGCAGGTTATTATTGTCCCTTAATCCACCTGTTATCTCTGAAGTTCTAGTGTTCCTCTGCATGCTAGCTGCCAAAGCTGGAAATTCTCTAGGACAACTAAGTTCAGGGTTTTTATGCTCTTGCTCCTCCTCTCTTATGCTTTCCTTAGTAGGTCCCTTAGTGATCATCTGGCCCTCCATGACAAGCAGAGTCATCTGCCTTTGTCCATCTTCTTGTTGATAATGTTTATCAGCTGTAGCTTTGGTAGTCACCACAACCTCAGATGTCTTACCATTTTTGTTAACAACTGCTTTTGTTCTCCACTCCTGTATCACCTTTGGAGGTCCAACATCTGTATGTGCTGGATGGGCATTTTCTTTTGGTTTTCTCCTTCTTCTTGGCTGCATAAAGTTCTGATTCTCAACTTCTTTTTGCTTGCAGCAGTGACCTATTTTTAAGAAAACCTCACAGATTTCTGGTTTCCAATTATATGCAATCAATTGTTCGAATTGTCTCTCATCTGGTTCTCACACTAAGACATTAGTAGGAAGTGGTCTTGTAACATTTATTTCAATGAGCATGCAGCATAGGAAATCTTTTTTTGTTTTGAGGTACACTCATCAGCATACCGTGGTTTTCCTATAGCACTAGCAACCCTACTCAGTAATTTTCCTCCCCAACAACTCATGGGTAGGTTTAGCAATACCACCCATAGGGGAATTTCCTGCAAGAACTCCTTTGTGAAATCAAAATTTGCAGTCCATGGCTTCAATATCATCGGTTTATTATTGATTGTATAAGGCCTAGAATATAAGATTTCCCGCATGTCGCTTGTAGACTGAAATTTGATAACATAATAGCCTTCATCATGGTAAAATACCTCTGGTTCAACCACTCGATTCCAACTCTATTTCACAAATCTATACATATAATTATACCATGTGTCTCTCCAATTACATACACAATCAGTGCACTCTTTCCTTTTTGGATTTCTCTATCAATATCATCCTTTTCCAGTTGAACTACAACTTTCCCCTCAACAATTACAGGAGGAATATAATCTAATTTTAAATCATTTTCTGAGCTACGATTACCTGCAAAGAGGGATGTCCATGCAATAGATTTCTCCTTGTTCTCAATTGTTGGTTCCAGATCTGAGATGCCCTTACTTGTACTTGCCTAATCTGTTGACTTTACTGGTGTAATCTCCTTTCACACACTTAGAGATGAGCTATTACTTAAGTCCAGTCTTTTAGCGGTATGCTGCATACTCGATTCCACTTGTTTCTACTTCAAATTTGACTCGATCAATGGAACAGGAATAGCCGCCGGTTGTGCTAACTTCGGTTTTTCCGGTTGCATGTGAGCTTCAGCTGCTTTACCTATAGTAGTATTCTGTTTGCTTACAAGCTAAGCATATTTTGGAAAAATGATAGTGTAGACGTTGTAGAAATAATAGTCAAAAAAATTGTATAAAATTTGTATATTTTTTGTGTATATATACATCTTGTATGTTATATACAAAAAATTTACAAGTTTATATACTTTTTCGGCTACCAAATGTAAATAGTTTTTGGCGCGGATAATACCCCACATATTTTCTGCAATTATTGATGTTAACTTTGGGATATTTTGTGAATTGGACATTTTTTTTAATTAATAATTTTAACTTGACCGAAGTTTGAGTGAAAGTAGGAAATACTTAATACAACATTTTTTACTTGCAAAATAAGAAATATAATTTTTATTCTGAAAATGTCGTCATTAATGAATATGCTTGGTAGATATTAAATTTATATTCTAAACATGTTTTGACATTCAATTTCAGATCAACATATGATTAATTACTAATGTTATTTGAATTTCTAACTTATAATGTGTCACGTAGTGCTTACTAATAATTAGAAATGCTAAGATTTATTTTGTATAACTCAATGTTATCAAATACAAAACGAGACAAATTAAAGAGGTATATATCTGTCTAGTGTAAAGATCTCAAGCTATATAGCTTCCAGAAATTTTCGTTGAACGGTTTCGTTGTTCGAGACGACGACAACAACAACAACAAAAACCCCAGTGAAATTTTATAAGTGGTGTTTGGGAAGGGTGAAGTGTACGGAGTCTTTATCCCTACTTAATAAAAGTAGAGAGGCTATTTCTGAAAGACCCTCGGACCAAAAGAAGTGTAAATGAAGCAATAAACAGACAGTAGCAACAGCCAGATAAGTAGACATGGGAACAAATGAAGATACGTGCAACAACAGATATCTAAGAATACGACACTATAAAAATAGATTCAGCCTTGCTAGAAATAATGACACAATATGAAATATCAAGGGGTTAGGCATAGAAAAATACAAGACTAGGACCAATACTACTAGGATGCTTAGACGAAACTCTAGACTGCCTGTCAACCCACAACCCTACTCCTCGACCTCCACACCTCCTATCGAGGGTTATGTCCTCGGTAAGATGAAGTAGCTCCATATCCTGCCTAATCACCTCACCCCAGTACTTTTTAGTCCTCCCTCTACCCCTTCTCTAACTCGCCAGGGTCAACCTCTCACACCTCCTAACCGGGGCATCAGGGTCTCTCCTCTTCACATGCCTAAACCATCTCAGCCTTGATTCCGCAATTTATCTTCTATAGGAGCCACGTCCACCTTGTCCTTAATATACTCATTCCTAATCTTATCTCTCCTGGTATGCCAACACATCCATCTTAACATCCTCATTTCCGCTACTTTCAACTTCTGAATATGGGATTTCTTAACTAGCAAACACTCGGCTCCATACAACATGGACGGTCTTACTACCACTTTATAGAACTTGCCCTTAAGTCTAGGGGCTATATCCGTGCAACTTCTAAAAATAGGGACAAAATGTAAAAGGTTGCCTAAAAGGGGGACTTTTGTGTAAATCAGCCCATTGCTTCACCCATTAAAACGGACAGGACTAGACATTATGATCCAAAGTCCAGATTGATTCCAGGCCCAGCTTTTACTACTCCAGAGTTTCTTCTCCGGCCAGTTGACGGTTCAACTTGCTCGTCGGAGTCGGAGTCGAACCCGCGATCTTTCTTCATCGAAATCGAGTCGTACCTTGTACATATTCTTTATTTCTCCCTCTCTTCTAGATTTCCTTGGATTCAAAGTTTTGTCTTTAATTTATTCTCAGATCACTCATTATTTTTGTCTAAAATCACTTCTCTATTAATTATTCAAGAGTGAAATCTTTTATGTGTAAAATTAGCATGTGAATTTGATTCATTTTTGTGTTTGAAGTAATTTAGGGATCCGAAGATTTAGAGGATTAAATGGCAAGCACAGCATGTTTTATGATTGTAAGCAGAAATGATATTCCTATCTATGAAGCTGAAGTTGGCACTGCGCCCAAGGTAAATTAACTCTGCAGCGTGTTACTAGAGATTTCTAGTCTTTGCTCAATACATCTAAAGTAGCATATTTACTTTTGTTAATCAATGGCATAAACTATTTGATTCTTATAATGAACTGATCACTTCGAATCTGGTTGATAGGAAATGTGGAAAAAAACTCATTGAAATGGTCTGGACAGCTGGTATAATGCACTGGTTCTTTTTGTTGTCATTCTTTTCTCACTTTGGTTTTAATGGAAGATCAAAATCGGATTTTGTGCGAGGAAAACTTTTATTTATCTGGGCATCACATTGCTGAAAACAAGCTTAATTAGATAAACTACAGTGCTTATCAGTTAATTCTTTTTTTCCCGGTGGCCGGTAAAATCTGTTTATACCTCTTAAATCACAGAATAAGCAATATTATAATTATCCTTAACGGTTTCACAGCATTTGAATTTGGTAGTGTGTGCGCTTTAGTTTTTAATCTGGTGTATATGCATTTGAACTAGTAGTATGTACCGTAGCACTTTTGCTATTGTTATCAAAATGTATGCACATCTTTCTACTTTACCGTGTTTCTGTCATTGAATTGGCTGAGTTTCTTGGTGATATTGTAAACTGTACTTGCATGCTAGAAAGAAGATGCTGCTCATCAGCACCAGTTTATTTTACATGCAGCATTGGATATTGTCCAGGACCTTGCATGGACTACAAGTGCTATGTAAGGATTGCAGCCCCCAGTCATCAAAGCACTAATTAAAAATTTCCTTTATAAATTTGTTTGCTTTCGTCATTATTAGTGATTCTCCTTCTTTCTTTCTTCATACAGGTTCTTGAAGTCAATTGACAGATTTAATGATTTGGTGGTGTCTGTTTATGTTACTGCTGGTCATATCCTCCATATGTTATAAATTCAATATTCGGTGATAGTACTGTTCTGATTTTAGAATGTAGATGGTGGTGATTGGTGCTTGGTTGTTTTATATCTGCATTTCTCTTTAAGACTTTAACAATCAGACAACAGCTTGCTTCTTCTTCTACAGTAATGATTTGATTTACTTTGTCAGTGGTCACTTATAGAAGGAGTCGTCATGCTCGATGTGTCTAAATGAATCTCTTTCATCAGTTTTTCTCTGGTTGACTCCTCTTGTAGAAGATTACTTCTTAGAGCGCATGGATTGATAAAATGATATGACATAGCAGAATTAAGAGGAAGAGCGCACCCATCTTTCTTAACATTTTATGATCTTGAATGGGAGACCCTTCCCCCATCCACACCATCTCGTCCTCCCCCTCACTCTTACTTGTACTTGGCCCACATAACTACATTTATGTCCTTGCTTACCCATTTTTTTAGATAATGATAGTTAACTCTTAACTTTCTGCACAATAATTCAAAATCTCTTGATATCTGTAATTAGCAAGCCTTCTTGACTAGTTCCTCGGTTTAATACAAGTTAGAATGTCAAGGCAGACTTCTCGTTACCTATCAAAAGAAGAAAAAGAAAAAGGAGGAAGAAGCATGTTTTAGAAGTTCTCATTGTGCATAAGTTAATATATGAATGTCTATGGAACTATCATAAAGTTAACATCAGCAGTTTATATTACAATGTGCACATCCTGTTTTTGTTCCTTTAACCAAGCAAGCATACATACGCGACTGATGCTACTTCATGACTCTCGTAATGATGATGGGATCAAAAGCTTCTTCCAGGAGGTCCATGAACTATATATAAAGGTAACTCCTTTGCCAAAAGCTTTTCAATAGCAAATAAAAGCACAGAGGTCGTACATTTTAATTTTTTTGCTATATAATCTTGGCGCTCAACCTGCTGAAGGCCTATGTCGTGCTGAGTGTATTCTTTTCCCATTGTTGCTTGTTATTTCTCTTGGAAGGGGGGGG